ACAGCTGGTGAGTTCAAACCACAGACTTTTTAATGTATATATAGATGTATGCATATATATCTATATGACTACACATATAGCCATATATATAGTAAAGCATATAGGAGGTGCACTTATGGATATTTCTTAGACATAACCAAAAACCTCATGGAACTGAACTTCTGGGTTGAAGGATTAGGATCATAGTCTAGTGGGACATCCCAATTTGCATAATATCATGAAATCATAATAATATAAAATTACATTCTGCATACTATTTTGGTGAATAGTATCTAGGGTCTTAACAGCTTGTGAGGATCCATCTAAGATAAAATTATTATTGGTCTCTACTTATCCAGAGCAAAAGAGAGAGAAGGAAACCAAAGACTCAAAGGAGAAACTAGTCTACAGGACAAATAATCTAATCTACATGAACCACAGCCTCATCTACTCACAGACCAGGACTAGATGGGGACTGGGCTACTACCACCACCAACTATTCTAATCAGGTCCACAATAAATGGACCCAAGGCTGTAAACAGAATGGAGGAAAACAGAACAAAAAAAAAAATAAACAAACCAACCCACATCTACTGGACTGATTGAGACTGAAGAACTCCTGAGACTACTACCCTGAAATATTCATCAAACCTTGAACTGAAACTTAACTCCTGAGGTAACCTTGTAGCTAAATAAGAAATTGGCTCAAAAAAATAATGAATACCACCTAAGTACTGTATTCTTTTTTTCTTTTTTTAAAAAAAAACTAAACTAAATGAGGCCAAAAAAATCAACAATTACTTTAAAAAAAATGGGAATGTAAGGGGCAGAGAAACCAGGTTAATGGAAATCGAACAACTGGAATGGAAGTACATACTAACAAAGTTCACACATAGTGAAGAATGTAACCAATGTCATGAACAACTTGTGTAGAAATTTGTTGAATGGGAACCTAAAGTGCTGTGTAAACTTTCACTGAAAACACAGTAAAATATTCTTTTAAAAATTAAAAAAGAAAAGAAAAGAAAGAGAATGAGATTAGGATTAATGAAAAGGAAAGGTTTACACAGGGAAGGAAACTTTCATTGTTGGGGAGAGGAAAAGGGAGGGAAAAATTGAGGGATAATTAAGAGACATGTTTGATATGGGTAAAGGATAAAGTAATAATATACATATATATATTACTGAGTCTCCAAAACTAAGTAACCAAGTAGAAAGAAATAACTTCAGCCAGTAATAGGCAAAAAACCTTTGCTACCCATCCTAAATCTTTTGACATTGGTTTACACAACAGTCACTTCAATAATGACTTATGTACAGTTTTTTAAACATAGCTTTCAGAGGATAGGGATCATTTTCTTAGACATCTTTGTTTTTTTAATTGTGATTTTGGTGAAAGTTTACAGAGCAAATTCATTTTCCACACAGCAGTTCATACACATTTTGTCTCATGACATTGACTGCAATTTCCCACAACATAACAGTTATCTTCCCAATTCTTCCCCATAGTTATCTCTATGTCCTTCCCTCCCATGTACTCCTGCCCCCTGCATGGTCTCCCTGTGCATACACTGCCCTTCTGTCCTCCCATGATTCATCTCGCCAAGGAGTGTATCTATTGGATGGAAATGTTCAGCCCATATACTGGTCTTTTATTTGGCTGGAAGCCACAGGAGTGAGTTAAATTCCAGACCTGAAGGGCAGCTAGGGGCCATAGTCTCAGAGGTTTCACCAGGCTCTGTCAGACCAGCAAACCTTTTTTTCTTTTTTTTTAATTTTGAGTTTTGTTCCACATTTTTCTCATACTCTATCCAGGATCTTCTACACAGATCCCCCTCCAAGTGGTTGACAGTGGTAGCCAGGCACCATCTAGTTCTTCTGGTCTCCTGGCATTTTCTTAGACATCTTTTGTATCTTGCTTAAAGCCTGGCCAAATATTGTACATATAGTATGTATACAGTGTCCACTGAATGGAAGCTGGGAAATATATTTTGTAGAATATTTGTTTTCTTCCCAAGTTTGTATTTGGCTAAAGTCATGAAGTCACATTAAGGGACATATAAAAACAAAAAAATCAAACACTGCCATTGAGTCGATTTGACTCATTGTGACCCTCCTTGGGTTTCTAAGGTGGTATCTCTATGCAAGTAGGTTGCCTAATCTTCCTTCTGAGGAGTGGCTGGTGGATTTGAACCACCAGCCTTCTGGTTAGCAGTCAAATGCCTTAGGCACTATGCCACCAGAGCTCCCAAAGGACATATAGCATTAAAAAAAAAAAGAAAGAAAGAAAAAGAGAAGAGAAAGTAAGAGGCCACATTGTAAGGAAGCCCAGGCTGCCATGAGACATAAGTTGTGTGGTTACCTCCTCTACGCCACTCCCCACCACCATGACTGGGGCTCTAGATGGTTTAGCATGGCAGCCTAGCCTCTCATGCAGGGGATATAGCTCCCATGGAGAAGAGGAAGGGGTCTGAGGAAGTAGTAGCTGTCCCAGCTATGCTGTTGGCTTCACCCATTCTGCCCACGGGCTGCCATGCAACGGCACTTCCTGACACTACCCCCTCCTGGGCCCTCGGTGAAGACCTCATCCAGACAATGGCTGTCTGCGGCAGCACTGCCCAGCGAGCACCATGCAGCAAAGGAAGCATGAGGGCCATGTGCTAATGTTGTCAATTGAAAAGCAAGCTGTAAAAAGGTGTATTACATAGCATACACATCATATCATATGTAAGATATGTGCAAGAAAAAGAGAATACTACAGCTTTATATTTGAGGAAACCCTACAAGTATAATCAAGATAGTACTAAGAATCATTACCTATAGTGGGCAAGGGGAAGTAGGTTGTCCAGGAAGAGAAAAGTGTCAGTATATACCTGATATTCCCTAATAAGAAATTATGGTGGTTAAGTTTGTGTGTCAACTTGGCTAGACCTGGTTAAGTAGCTGGGCCCTGCATTCCCCATGATGAGACTGGTAATCAATTCCATGGTGGAATCTACTGTGCGTAGCTGCCTTTGGGATGTGGTCTGCTTTCTTTATATAAGTAATAGCTTTGGAAATGGTCTCTAGCTTATGGCACACTTGGACCCTGAATGTAGCCATGTTGTTCAGTAGCCTGCCATGTTCTGCTGACCTTGGGACTTACAATGGACTTGAATTAATGCCTGCCGTGTGGTTTGGAAACATCAGGACTATGCCTTTTTACTTGTCAACCATGGGCTTGGCAGCCTCAGCAGCCAGCAGCTATCTGAGTGAAGAAAAGCCTCTAGCTTCAGTGGGCAAGGAGCTGGAGGGAGAGCTGAAGCCCAAGGCTGAGGGACTTTCACCCAGCCCCTAGAGCCTGGCACTTTGAACTTGGACCTAAAGCCTCCAAACTGTAAGAGAATAAACTCGTTTGATAAGGCCATCCCATTTGTGGTATATTCTTGTCAGAGTGGCACTAGGTAACCAGAACAGCTCCCTAGTTTCAAAGGGCCAGACTTTCACCAACTTAGTTCTGGAGTGTGGGGCTGCTTGTTCATGTGAGCTAGTGGGATGGAGTCAAGCCACTGCCCAAGAGAGGGGGGTAGGGCTGCCATGCCCAAGAGGGAGAGGAATGGGGCCTGCCAAGCCAAGGGGGTGAGGTCTCCACTCAGGAACTAGGGGACTGGAGTCACCCAGTGAAGAGATCTATACAGACACCACCCACTGAAGATCTGTACAGGTACCAAGTTGACAAGAGGTGGTATTGTGGTGGTTAAGTTTGTGTGTCAACTTGGCTAGGCCTGGTGGAGTGGCCGGGCAGCTGACTGTGGTTATTCCCTGTGGTGAGATTGGTAATTAACTCCACGGTGGAATCTATTGGAGCAGCTGAGTAGTTGCCTTGGGTATGTGGTCTGCTTCCCGTATAAAAGCAGCAGTTTTGGGAATGCTCTCTAGCTTATGGCACACTTGGACCCTGCATATAGCTGTGTCATTGTTCAGCAGCCTGCCATGCTCTGCCAACCTTGGAACTTACAATGGACTTGAATTAACAACCTGCCATGTGGTTTGGTAACATCGGGACTGTGCCATTTTGTCAACCTTGGGTTTGTTAGCCCCAGCAGCCAGTAGCTGCCCAAGTGAAGAAAAGCCTCTAACTTCAGTGGGCCGGGAGCAAGAGGCAGAGCTAAAGCGCAAGGTTGAGGGGCTTTCACACAGCACCTAGAGCCTGGCATTTTGAACTCGGACTTCCAGACTCTCGACCTATAAGAGAATAAACTCCTGTTTGTTAAGCTCATCCTATTTGTGGTATATTTCTTGTCAAAGCGGCACTAAGTAACCAGAACAGAAATATACTTGGAAAAGGAAAAATTTAACAAAAACTTGTGTTAATACTGAATATTGAAACAGACTGTTACTTAGAATTGCTATTCACACTGTGTTTCTGATTGCTCTGAATATCAAAGTACATATATAAAGGATGAAAAAAAAATGCTGAACAAATGGATGAATACATGAATGTGCTCTTTTTTTTGATCCTAAGAGTACCTACCCTAGGTGGGTCCAGGACAAGGATCCCCATGGTACAGATGAGCACTGTAGAAAGCTCAGAAAGTTCACTGTGTAGATCACACTCCTCTCAACTTGGAGTAGCCTACCGGCCTCCAGCCCATGTGGCCCAGCAGCACCAATCCCCTCTCTGCGTGCTCGGGCCTGCTGAAGTTTCTCTGTCCCAGGCCAACCCACCACTCCCTGTGTCAGAAGATAGAACTAGGCCAGGACCAGCCTCTCTGTGGCTCAGTTTCCTCCTCTGGAAAAGGGCAATAATGCCAGTATCTGCCTGTGGTGTTCCTGTGAGGGTTAGATGGCACATAGTAGGTGCTCATAAATGTTAGTATGGGTATGGTATTTTCCCACATGTTCTCAGCTTGGGTAAAAGGAGAGAGAGACTGGGAGAGGTGGGGAGACCAGGCAGCTTTGGGCACAGTGACAAGAGGGGGTGAGCAGACATGGGCCTTCCTCCAAAGGTAGGCTCTCTGGCTGAATGGGCAAATACTTACCAAGGAAGATGAGCAGTACACCCACACTAATCTGAAGAACAAGGGAGATGGAGATAAGGACTACGAGGGGCATGAAGAAGGCGAAGCTGGGACCCTGCTCAATGACAGCCTTGAGCTGGGAGGCGTTGGCCATCAGAAGGGCGATATCCAGCATGCTCTCAGCTGCACTCTTCTTGTTGGCATAGTGGTTCACATTGATGGGCCGGGTTCTCCAGCCCCAGCGTGGTGGCTGCAGAATGAAGTTTGGTCAGCTATGGCTGGGGGGGAGGAGAGGGATGCACCTCAGCCCCACCCACCTAGCTCCATCCCCTGCCACAGGCTGTAGGGCCTGAGCAGTCCCCTCCCAACTCCAAGCTTAGTTTCCTCCCTGTGAAATGGGCTCTTGATTGCAGTAGGGCTGCCTGGTGGCCCAAATAGGGCCCTGCAGATAAAGGCCGTTTTATTTCCCTGGCACATGGCAGGAAGTAGTTATTACTGCACTAAGAAACCACAGAATGTTATTCAGTCTGGGCAGAACTTTCCCTAGGGATGAAGTCATGAAAGTACTAGTCTTGCTGGCCTTGAAAATGTGTCCCACCCTTGCCCTCCACATGGGTGGAGCCATCTGGGTAGCAATCCCAATGCCCAAGGCCCCTCTGCACAGCCTGCCCACTCTGTGCCCCCTCAGGGAGGAGGCATGTAGGAGGAGAAAGCTGGATTCCTGAGCCAGCAAGTGCAAAGAAGGCCTTGTACTTCCCAGCTGTGTGATCCCAGACAAGCTGCTGGCCTCTCCGTGTAGCAGTGTCACCCTCTGCAAATGTCCCACCTACCCCACTGGGCTCCTGCTCCAGCCAGGTCAGCACCTCCAGCAGCTGTCCTCCCAAGGCAGTGAGGGTCTGGGTAACCTCCCAACAGGACAGAGGTTGTCCCAGTTCTACTCATGCAAAGCCACCCCAGATTCTGGAAGGCCACTGCCTACAGTATATGTGCTCCCCAATTCTATAAACTATGCCAAAGTGCTCATGGAGGTTGGCAGGTGATTTGGGGGCAGAGTTCTCAGTGACTCCTTGCCTCCCCAACCCCACCCACCCCCATGACCTCAGACAGCCCAGCTCCTCTCCACCCCTGGATGTTCTGGGGCAAAATGCCTCAGGACCCTGGGTGGCAAGCAAAGGGCACTGACCCATGCTCCTCACCCCACATAAGGTACTTCTGGCTCACCCAGTCACCTGTTTCCTGCCCAACCTGTGTGATGATAAGGAGTGCAGGCTGGGAGGGGTAGGCTCTGGGGCAAGCTCATGGCAGAGGAGGCCTTTGCTGTGTGGCCTTGACTCTTGTTCTTGGCCTTGTGTCCTTGTCTATACATCCTGGGACTGCACACTGGGACACTCTGCAGATCTAGAGGTTCTTCTCCCACCAGCCTGTAAGGGGTATGCTATTCTTTCCATCTTACAGATAAAGAAACTGAGGCTAAGAGGGGAAGGAGCTTACCTGACACCCTTCTGTGAAGAAGGAACATATCCAGAATTGCAACCACACCTGTCTACCCATAGCTTAGACCTGATCTGGGCCCTGGCACAGCCTCAGCTTCCCCCAAGTAAAGGGGATCAAGAGGCCACCATGGGCCTGTGGGAGGGCTCATGGAGCCACATAGGGAATACTGAGAGAGGTGGAGAGACTACAAACCAGATCTGGGGGAGGAACTCTGAGAAGCAGGAAAGTTCTGGGCCTTAAAGTGACCCACCCACAGATGTGTCCCAGGGGAGGACAGATGCCTGCCCCACACTTCCAGGCCCTGGACATTCTGCACTATTTTGGAAAGTCTGGACCCTGGGCAGCAATTCTCTAGGTGGGAGGGGCTGAGGGTATCATGCTGACCTCAAAGGTCTGGAGGCCCCACAGGCCTGGACCACACCTGCCCTGCCTCTGCTGACAGGAGTTGTACTGGTCACTTCCCCTAAGACCTCAGCTGTGACCTGGGAAGTGCAGGGAACAAACATGTTGGTTAATGTGTCCGTGGTGCCAAAATATCAACACTGTCCCAGAAGCTGGGGTGAGGTACACTGGGACAGTGGGGTATTCCCCCTATCGCTGGGGAGGAGCCCTGGAGAAAGGGAGTCTACTGCCTGTGCCAGTCCCTATTCCAGCCTTCCAGGACATAGTGCTCTGAGCAGCCTTTGTGCTGCTGCTCTGAGACAGGTCTCGGTCACACTCTAGTACACGATCTCAGCTCATATAGAGAAGGGAGCTGGACAGAAGCAGGATTTGATCTGTCTGCTGTACCCAAGAGCCAGGTGTTGTGCTTTAGCACAACAGGGGTGCTACTACCCCCATCCCAGCTTGGAATGGGGCAGATGTAGTCTGGGGCAGGCCTTGCTAAGGCTTCCCAGCTGAGCCTGAATCACTGAGCCCCAGGACATAGCCCCTCAGACCCTTTTCTTCTATGCCCTGGTTGTCCAGAAGCTTCCCCAACCCTCAAAAAGGGCAAGCCAAGACACTCTCTGTAGGCCCTGAAGTAGTCATAGTTACCAACTTCTCTCAGCCCTGCCTACCCCCAACTCTACCACCGCCCCATCAATAAGTACTGAACAGAGAGTCTACACAGGAATCCTGGGCCCAGCCTTGCAGTGGGTGGGCTCCTCAGGGCAGTATCTCACCCTCCCAGAGACCTACCCCCTGCAGTTTCCTCATCTGCAAGAGAGAGACCAAGTCCCCCTCACTGCTCCCACCAAGGGCCTGTGCCTGCCAAGGCTGGTCTGGACCTTCCACACCACTCTTCTCCATTCCTGGACTCCAGCTACACAACCCTGGCCAGCTGGAGACCATGCTGCACCTCAGTGTTCTCATCTGTAAAGGGATGAGTGACAGGGATGCTGTGGAGATCGATGTGCTCATATAGGTGGAACACAGTGGGTGGGCCTGGAACACTCTAGTTATTGTCAAGGCTCAGATTCTGGCCTATCTAAGGTGCTCAGCTGGCAGTGGTGGGGCTGAGATGTTACTCCACATTGCTGTTCCAGCTCTCATCACTTTGAAAGACTCTACTCTCCAAGCATATTAAACTTATTCTTAATTAATGCCATTGATCAGCAACAAGGGAAGAAAACAAGCCTAGGACACAGATCCCTGGAATAGCCTGCAGCTGGGTAGCTGCCACCCTGAATGTCCTAGGTCCTCAACTCTTGGTCCTTGCTGACGACAGCCAGTGGGAGCCCTGCCACCCCTTGATGTGGGGTCTCCATCCATCCTTTCTCTTCCAAGCGCTCTCTCTGTGCTAGGATCATCCCAAGGCCTCAGGTGTCATGCCCTCTTTTGCTATGCCTATCCCCCAGCAGATGTGGAGAAGTAAGCTACTTCTCTAGGGCCACACAAACCCAGGGGTTTGCAGCCAGTGCTGCACTCTCCTCACTAGGGTAGCAGGCACCAGGAAGTCAGAAAGCAACAGGGCAGACTCCACGTCCACTTTCCTGACAGAAAGTCCCCTGCAAGTGGCCCAGAGAGTGGGAAGTCCTGCCTTGGCTGGAGTTCCCTTGCCGCTGGCTCGCCCATCTCCTGCAGGCTCAGCACTGTCCAAGAGTGATCTGTTACTGGGTTATAATAGTCATGTCAGGGTATCCTTTCAGACCTTGGCCAAGACACAGCCAGAAAACAGAAGTGAGGAAAAGAGCAAACTTCCTCCCAGGCAGCTGGGACCATGCAGGGCCTAGCCAGTTAAGTATGCAGAAGGCAAGACCACAGTGTCCTCAAGGATCAAGTTAGGGGTGTCAGCCTAGTATTGCTGGACAGCCCTCAGGAGCCAACGTCATCACCCTGCCAGGCCAGGAGCAGGGCAGAGAGGGGGCCAGCTGGAGTTGTTCCAATTCTGTTCCTGGCCTCTTGAAAAAGGGAGCCGTGCTCCCCCCAAGGTTTGTGGCAGAATTCAAGTGGCCACAATACACTTAAAGGACACAGCACACTCATTTCACCCTTTAGAGTTATTTTTACTATTCCTCTCACCACCAGGCAAAAAATGAGCTGGCTATTAAGAAGACATCTAAGCAACACCTCAGAGTTAAGGGCACATCACCCATGGTTCTGGGTGCATGGGGCCCAGTCAGCATGTTTGCTGTGCCCTTACAATATGAAGGGTTTACATGTGGCTGATTCAGCCTTACCTAGGAGGTGAGTGAGTGTGCCTTGTTTTATAGAAGAGAAAACAGAAGCTCAGAGAGGGTCTATACTTGTCTAAAGCCACACAGCTGGAGTGCCCTAAGACTAGCAGGGACTCTCAGACCTCCTAATACCCCTATAAGAGATCGCTGAGCACCCAGCATGACAGGTGATATACAGGATCTGGGGACACAGCAGGACCTGCCCTCACAGTGCTTCCATTCTTAAGGGGACAGGTCTGAAGACCCAGTGTTTGCCTTCAGAGATCAGGCTGGGCAATTAAGTGTAACCCTGGAGAGAGACCCCTACTTGACACCTGCCCCTTATCTCAGCAAACTTTCTTTCCTTGACCTCCGACTTCATAGCAGGCCTAGTGTTCAGAGAGGAACAGGGGAGTGCAATGTCTGCCCAGTGGGGCTCACCCTGGGGAGTACTTCCCTGTCTAAACCACTTAAAAGTAATGGGCCCTTGTCACTCAGGAGAAAGTCTCTATGGGGCTGGGTCACCCTCAACACATTCAGCCCAAAGCTTCACAGGCTCAGGTTTAATCATGCTGCTTGATTTTCCTTGTATTTTTTAAAAAATCTCTTTCTAGCAAGGAGAGATTAAAAGGTTCCTTTTAAAAGACATTTAAGATAATCATAATCAAATTTGTAATCCAATGACAATAAAGCTGTGTGCTGGGCCCTATTCCAAACATTTTAAACCTCAAAACAGCCTTCTGAGGAAGGCACTGCTGTTACTCTCATTTTATAGATAAGAAGTTGAGATACAAAAAATTGGACAGAGGGACCGAGTAGTTGAACATGTGGGCTTGGGACCATAGTCGCAGTGGACATCAAGCTCAATTGGCATAACATATTATAAAAAACATTGCTCCACCTCCTACTTTGGCAAGTAGCGACAGGGATCTTAAAAGCTAGCAAGCTGCCATCTAGAGGCAATGATGAGTCTCTCTTCATCAAGAGCAAAGAAGAATGAAGAAAACCAAAAGTCATGGAAACAATTAGCAACTGGTATACCATCCGATCTGCAGCCTATACAACTATGAGATCAGAAGAACTAGATGGTGCCCGGCTACCATCATCCACTTGGAAGGGGATCTGTGTAGGAGATCCTTGATAGAGAGGGAGAACAATGTGGAACAAAACTCAAAATCATTTGGAGGGGAAAAAAAAAAGGGGGGGTGACCAGGTTTGCTGGTCCAATAGAGCCTGGTGGAACCACGGAGACTATGGCCCCTAGCTGCCCTTCAGGTCTGGAATTGAACCCACACCTGTGGTTTCCAGCCAAACAAAATACGTGCATATGAGTTGAACATTTACCTCATGTGGATACACTCCTTGGAGAGAACAATCATGGGAGAAAGAAGGGCTGCTTATGCACAGGGTGACAGCTCAGGAGGCAGGAGTGTATGGAGGGATGTACACTGGGAAGAGGTAACTATGGGGAGGAGGTGGGAGGGGAGCTGTTGCATTGTGGTAAACTGTGGTCAATGACATGAGACAAAGTGTATATGAACTGCTGCACGGAAAGTGAATTTGCTCTGTAAATCTTCACCCAAATCACAATTAAAAAAAAAAAAAAAAAAGAGAAAAAAAGTGGACTGGAGTGATGTGCCTAAGAAAATAACATGGCAGGATCCTCAGGGTCGGGTGGGTAACACAGAAGCTGGGTAACATCCGGTGCATCTGGGCCCCAGGCTTTGTGAGGAGAGTGGCCTTTGAGGCTGGCCATCCCGTCCAGGAAGCCTCCATGTGACTGGTTCGGCTGGACCTGTGTGCCATAGCTCCATTTGCAGAAGTTCTCCTCATGCCAGCCCCATCTCTCCCCTGCTCACAGCCCTTCCATGGCCCCGGTAGCCCAGGGGACTGTGATCTGGCCTGTGATATGCAAGACATGTCCTGTCCAGCCTGACCTCTCACCCAACCACATCCTACCCAGTCCTGTATATGTTCTGGTGGTCCAATCTCTAGGTCTTTGCTCTTGCTCTTTTCTCTGCCTGAGACATCCTCCCATGTATCTCAGAAAGGCAGAACCCTCCCTGTAGGGCCTCTTATGTTTACTACCTCCCACAGGAAGCCTTCCCCTGATGTCTGTAGGCCCCTTCCATCACAGCCCTCCTCTGGAACTCAGCACTTCATGCCTTGAATTCTCCCATTTTTATCTGGGTGGTTTCATATGTCAGACTAACCTCAGTAGGTCAGGGCGTGTCTCACTCACCTCTGGTGCCCAAAGCCAATGTGTGACTCTTGAACAAAACCAACTTAACTTCTCAGATGGGCCTGAGATGTGGCCAGCTTAGCCCTGCAGCCGGCTAGCCCCATTCTATCCCTGTCAAGGTACAGCTGTAGCTCTAAGGCAGGTGCAGGGATTCCAGGTGCAGAGATTCAGAAGGGTAAGGTCAGCTGTTTGTTATTTGGTTTGTTTCTCCTACTTTCCTGGGAGGCAGTCAAGGCAAGAATACTTTGTTTCTTCTTTTTAAGACCCCAAATAGAAGGCCAAAAGAGGTAAAGCAGCCTCCCCAAGGTCACAAGGCTAGGAGGTGCCCCCACTACCCAGAGTGCTACTATGCTGGAGCAGGCCAGCCCCAGGGACCAGAGGCATATTTAAGGTATGGCATGTGTCCTAGACACTACTTGAAGGGGGACTGAGCAGTTTCTATTAACCATTGCCATTTCCATCACCAGCTGTGATCATTTGGCAAGTTACCCTTTGAAGACTGAATTATTTTCTGCTTTGAATTTTTTTGTTGAAATCACATGTTTTCAGTAATGGAAGGCATTTTGAATGAAATGCAAAAAATTACGGTTATACAGGCCTCCACCAAATGGCAGCATGCACTAAAAGGGGGGTAGCAACTTCCCACTAAACCCCTGAGGTAGAAAATTGTAGGTGGGCACACTGTGTCCCACAGGTCACAAAAGGGAAGACCAACTAGCCACTCGTTGAAACGAGGATTGGGCAATCTACTTCCATAGAGATATGCCTCAGAAACCCAAGGAGGGATCACTACCAGTCGCATTCAACTCAACAGCAGTGTTTTTTTTTTGTTTGTTTGTTTTTGGTTTGGTGTGGTATTGCTCTGCTGACTGTAGGAAGAAACTGGAAAAAAAAAAAAAAGACCAATTTTCATTAGGGAAAGCAAGGAAATAGCAGTTGTAATTTTCATGTAGTGCCATGACATGTTTACATAAAAGATTAATGACCTTGATTTGTATTTTTGAGCTGACATTATGGTAGAGTGGTGTCAGATGTTTGGACAGAGGTGCAATTTCATTGCTTGCTATGGGCATTATTTTCTGTCTAGCCATGCCTCTGCCAGGGAATCACAGCCCTGGTGAAGTCCCAGCTGTGGCTCTCTGTTCCTGGCTGCCCCTCTCTGTCCTTAGTTTCCTCAGTGCTAACATGGACTGGCATGAGGATTTAGTGAGAAGATATGTGGAAATCCTGGCACAGCAGCTAGGGCCTTGGAAAGGCTCCACAAAAGATGAAGAAGATGATAGCGGATGGCCAGGGGCACAAAGGGAGGTGTCCCACTAGACACCTTCCCCACAAATCCTCCCCACCACAACTTCAGGGGCTTCTTTACTTATCACCAATGCACTGGCCCAGGATGGTCCCTGTTCACATCTGCAGCCTCTGCATCAGTCTCTGCCCACAGTCTGGGAAAACCAACAAGCTACCATTACCCCTGCCCCCATCCCAAGGAGCTGGAAAATGACAGGAAGTCCAAAGTCAACAAACAAGTTATTGAGGGCAGTGTCCAGGGCCATGGACATACAAGGCCCAGTTGAATGATGGCACCCAGGAGGAGGCAGCTCAGGAGCCGCACTCCCATGCAGGCTTGCCTCAGCAGGTGCTCAGGTACCCCATTCCTGGGGCCTGTGGGTGGGCACTAGCAGGCCTGGGCGTGGGTGGGTGGGTGAGTGTGTGTGTGTGTGTGAGTGTGTGTGTGTACGCGCGCGCGTGCATGTGCCCCAGTCTATAGTGTGAGTGTGTGTGTGTTTGTGTGTACATTCACGCGTGCATGTGCTCCCGGGAGCCCTGGTTTCATCAAGGCAGGTGAGTGGAGCAGGACACACATAATCTGTAGTCATCAGGCAGTGACATAACTGTCTGCCTACTGCTGGCCTGGGGCCCGGTAGGCCGTGACTCCTCTCCACCCACGGAGAGATGAAGTTGGTAGTTAGAAGGGTAGTCAAGGAGGAGTGGGAAGGGCCGAGTGAGCTCAGGGCTGGAGGTAGGGTAGGGGGATAAGATGGGTGTTTGGAGGAGGAGGCGTTGTGCTGGCCGCGAGGAAGGGAGGGAGGGAGTGCAGCCAGACTTGTCCAGTGTCCCGGGAGCTCCGGCGCGCACGCCCTCCCCGGCCCCGGGGTTGGCAGGATGCCAGCCGGTTCCACGCCTCCCACCCGACGACCCGTTCATCTACCCAGGTATGGCCGAACCCTTGGAGCCATACGCTTCTGCCTCCCACGAGGAAAGTGGGGCGCAGGGAGGTGAGATATGCCCAGTCAACAGCGCCGAGCTGCCCGGGAGGCTGCGCCCTTGCCACCCCGCAGTGCGGAGCGCCACAGGTGCGGACACGCGGGGACTAGGGAGGGCGGCGTCTGCCTAGGTCACACAGCGAGGCTTACCGAAATGCCCGGGGAGCTGGGAGAGCCTGGGGGCAGGTCGCCGTTAAGCTCGTATTCCTCTGCACCAGAGTCCATGGTGCGGCCGCCGGGGGCCGCCTCGTTCGCGGCCTAAGAGTCCGCCGGCGCCGTCACCGCCGCAACCCACCTCTGACTCTGGGCCCCCGCCGCGCGCCTGCCTTTCCGCGCGCCCGCCCCTCCGCTCCGGGCAGGCCAGGAAGACCGGGCTCGCCCCCGTCCACAGACCCCGCCCCGCGCCCGGGGGCGGGACCCGGGACTGGGAGGCGGGAACGCCGACGCCGTGGTCGCTGATTTTGGAGACCTTACCCTACCAGGACTGGCTCCTCAATACCCAACCCCGAGCCTTACTCCCGAGTCCCAGCTTCTCCCTTGGCCTGCCTGACCTGGGACGCCCCCAAAGGCTCACGGAGGTCGGGAGGGGCCGCCATGTACAACCCGCGGGTGCCCAACTATGAAAGAGTGCTCGGAGCCCCTCCCATCCGCCCTGAGGAAGCCCAGGCCTGCCTCCCAGGCCTCCAGGCTCTTTGCCCCTCTCTGAGCCTCGGTCATTGACATTTTTAACCTATAAAACCGTAAGAGCCAGCCTTTCCTGATTCCTTTGCAAGCGGGCATTGCGCCTGCCGCGGATGTGAGACCGCCCGTCAGCTTGCCCTGGGAGCCCCAGCATCTTCCCAGTGCCATGCGTGCTGCATCTTGTGACTGTGTCAGATAAGCCAGCGGAGTTTCCCAACTCGTAGGCACGTCACTTCCCCCTCTTTGAGCCTTGGCTTTCTGCTGGAAATGGAAGTATGAAAGCCTCCCTCGCACAGATTCATAGATGGAGGGAAGCAGAGGAAGATGGAACCCTATTATCTGCTGGCCTGGCAGATTACACCCCCCCCCCCAATCCCTCAATTAAATAAAAAGAGCCTTTCCGTGCCCTCTCTCTGGAGAGCAGAGCCCACCTTGCCCTGAACTGGCACCCTAGTCCCTTGTCAGTGTTCCTTAGCAGCACGGCCTTGAGCTCCGATGCTCTGCCAGAGTGACACTTTTTCAGCCTTGGCTCAGTCAGCCCTTGTTTCTCAGGAGGTCCCAGGACACCTGCAGCCAGGCTGGGCCCCTCACCTCCCCCAGGCGCTGGAGGCCAGGTGGGATGTGAGGAGACGTGGCAGTGCAGGCAGCTGCGGGGCAGTGTGTCCCTATATGGCCCTGCCCTCTCAGAACCAGTGGCTTTTTCGTGTCTGTGGTGCCTCAGATTTCTGTGTTCTCTCACAGTATCACACTGATACTCTTACCAAGGACCCTGATGGATACATGGTCACTTTAATCTTCACCTGGTGTGAGGAGGTGTGAGGGGGCCAGCCTACCAGGATGCTGTGTTCCAGAGCTTCGGCAGTGACTTAACCTCGCTGTGTTGCAATGTCCCCCCTCTGTGAAATAGAGTACTTATGATGTTAGCATACAGCTGAGCATTTGATTAAGGCCATGTGAGTCTAATATTTTTTCCTTCCCAACTGAAGAAACTGAAGATCAGAGAGGGTGAACAAGCCCAGGTTCACCAATGGATCAGGTTCAGACTCAAAGTCAGGTTGGCTAGAGGCACACAAGAGAAGTATAGGAGAGAAGGTCCCTTCCCTCATCTTGTCATCATGAAGCACCTATTGTGTGCCAGGTCTGGTTCCAGGCAAGGGGCATGGCCTTGAGCAAAACAAAGCCTTCTCTGTAGAAGGATCCAGGTAAAATGAACTCAGTGTGGAGCTAGCTGTGGGAAATGTGTGCTCTCACCCATCACTGACAGAGGAAACTGAGGCACAAGTGGTAAGAGACTCAACTAGGAATATTAAACCCCAAGTGACCACAAGCAGAATGACTGGGGAGATGGCACTGTCACCACACTGCTGCTTGCAGCCCTGCTCCCAACAAGATGGTATAGGCAGGCACCCAAGGGGCACTGGGACTGTGCCTCCCTTGCTATGTCTGCCCTCTTTGCTCCAGGCTCAGGGCCTTCTATCACCCTACTACCCCATGCCTTATTGCCACTGGGAGGGTGACTTTTGTAAGTGAAACCAAAGGCCACAGAAAATGCAAGTCACCCTGAGGGATTTATCAGAAAGGATGAGCTTCCACTAAACCCTTGTCCAGACCCTGCTCCTGACTCATGGACACATCCTTGCCATCTAGGGAGGGGAAAAAGTTAGGGTGCTTCAAATAGGAACCCTGGTCCAGGGTCCACTGAGTGACTTGGGCTAGTCACTTGGCCTTTGTGTTCCCATCTGTTTACTGAGGGATTTGGACTTGATTCTTCAGAGGTCTGGACATCTGAAGGCTTGGAGGTCAAGGATGTGGGGGACTGACCTGGGAAGCTAAAGAAGGTCATTCTGACCACAGCCTTTGTGTCCTGTTAGCCCAGGGCTCTGACCACAGGCCTGTTTGTCCACCCCTCCTTCCGCACAGCAGTCTGGGCTCATGCAGGCTTAGGCTGCATGGGCAAGGTATCCCATAGTGCTGACCATGTGACAGGCACTGCTGATAGCCAGGCATTCCCAAGAGAGAAGCCTCTGAGGGGGAGCTATTGGAGGCCCTTTTTACAGCAGAGGAAACTGACATTCAGGGAAGTTGAAATAGACAGAAAGTAGCAGAGCTGGGTCTTGCACTCAGTTCTGCCTGATTCAAAGTGTACTCACTACCATCCAGGATCTCCTACATAGATCCCACTCTGAGTGGTTGACAGTGGTAGCCAGGCACCATCTAGTTCTTCTGGTCTCATAGTCATAGAGGCTGAGGAACGCATGGTGTACCAGTCATTAGGACTAATTTTTTTCCATGAATTTTTCATTGTCTTCATTCTTCTTTGCTCTGGACGGGGAGAGACCCATCGTTGCATCTAGATGGCTGCTTGCAAGCTTTTAAGATCCCAGTCGCTACTTGCCAAAGTAGGAGGTGGAACAATGTTTTGTGTGGTATGTTATGTCAATTGAGCTTGATGTCCCCTGCGACTATGGTCCTGAGCCTATAGGTTCAACTACTCAGTCCCTCTGGGTAGCTGGCTGTGACCAAGCAGTGATCACAACCTTGCCCCTTATCAGCTCTACTATACACCTGGGAATTCGGATCATGCAAATAAACTTATAGGACCATTGTCTGCCAACCCTATACGTGGTCTTAGGTATACTCCCCACTTCATAGACATACCTACTGGATCAGCCTGTTCACTGACAACGCAGTACTGTATGTGCAAAAGGGTTCATATTTGTTGTCTGTACCTCCCATGTACCTCTCCATGTCTTTCTCTTCCTCAATGCTACCATGTTGATCACTCACATTTGGTACATTGCCCTTCTCTTCACCCAAATCAATACTAATCTCTACCTATCTAACAGTGTCCCCTCCCCTCCCCTCCCACTCCTGGTAACCAACAAAGAAAATTTTCTTCCATAGATAAACCTTTCCTTGACTTTTTCAATAATGGACTAATACACTATTTGTCCTTTTGTAATTGACTTATTTCATTCAGCATATTGCCCTCTAAGTTCATCCATGTTATGTGGTGTTTTGCAGATTCTATATTATTCTTTAGGGTTACTTACATAGTATTTCATTGGGTGTATGTACCATAGTTTGGTTATCCATTCCTCCGTTGATGGATACATAAGTTGTTTCCATTTTTGGCTATTGTAAATAGTACTGCGATGAACATAAGTATGCATATGTTTGCTTTTGTCATGGCTCTTACTTCTTTAGGATATATACCTAGTAATGGAATGGCTGGGTCAAATGGTATTTCTAATTCCAGCTTTTTAAGGAATTGCCATACTGCTTTCCACAGTGGTTGTATCATTTTACAGTCCCACCAGCAGTGTATGAGTGCAAAAACGACAAGGAGGCCACATGTTCTGACCCCAATCCCACAAGAGGAAGACAGGATTACCAGCAGTAACCCAAGGCCTATTACTGCAAGGCCAGACATGCTACCTCCCTCCAGCACTTTCACCAACCGTTCCTCCCAAAGCACCCACCACCTCTCTCCTGGGTTCGATAATTCGCTGCAGTGGCCACACAGAGCTCACAGATTATGGGGTTTATTAGGGAAGTACCACAGGCTACAATTCAAGTTCAGGGGAAAATGCTCAGTCTTTCTCCCAGCCCACCGTCCCTCAGCCAATAGTCTCTCACAGTCTCTTTCCCAGCAGTGCTGATCCCTCGGTGTCTCACTCAGCAATGTGTGTCTCTTGCATCTCTTTCCCAGCAGCACGTGTCTCTTTCAGGGGCACGTGTCTCTTTCAGCATCACGTCTTCCTCCACCAGCAGTCAGAGAGAGTTCTGCCTCTAGGAGGCCTCCTTTTGGGCCCGGCAGTGTGGTCAAACTAGCCAATTATAGCATCAGAACTCTAAGCACCTGAGAGAGAGTGGGCCCCTCCCAGAACATTGTTTTGTGCCACTCCCAACAGAAATACTCCAGGTGGACAACTTGAGCAATCAGGACCTCCTCAGTTGCTCATAGAAAATCCCACCTTGGAGTTTACAAAGACTTATGGGTAGAAAAGCCACACTAAGTAATTTACTCACCACAATGAGAGTCCCAATGTCTCTACATCCTCACCATTTGTTGTTTTCTGTCTTGTTGAACTTTGCTACTAGTGCTGGAGAAAGATGGTATCTCATTGTTGTTTTGATTTGCATCTCTCTAATAGTTAATGATTGTGAGCATTTCTTCATATGTTTGTTGGCTGCTTGAATATCTTCCTTGGTGAAGTGTCTGTTCATGTCTTCTGCCCATTTTTTAAATTGGATTATTTGTCTTTTTGTTATTGAGGTGTTGTAGTTTTCTATAAATTCTAGAGATAAGTCCCTTGTCAGATATGTCATTGCCAAATATTTTTTCATTTTTTCCCAATCTGTAGGTTCTCTTTTGACTCTTTTGAAGAAGTCTTTGGAAGCACATAGAAATTTAATTTTAGAAGCTCCCAATCATCTGGTTTCTCTTCTGCTGTTTGTGCATTTTGGGTTATGCTTTATAGTCTGTTTATGCTATATATTCCCACCCACTGCTGTCGAGTCATATCCGACTCATGGCAACCCCTCCTTGGGTTTCCAAGGCAGTATCACTAAG